TTAGTATTTACTTCGACAAGGTTCTTCAGGAGTTCAGTGCTCGCTTCAGTGTCAAGTTTTCCAATCTGGGTTTTCTCCTGATTTGAACCCTTCACAAGGGCCTATTATTAATGGAGTACTTTTCTTACGTTTTGCTAATATTTGTCTTTCAACAGGTTTTATTCTTATTTTTGAATCTTAAATGTTTATAAATTAGTTAATGCAATAAATATCAAGAGTAGTTCAACTGTTATCAAACGTGTCCGTCAACTTCACAAAAGTCAAGAGACTCCTTTGGAACATTTTATGGCACTGCAAAAGTTATTTTAATGTTTTTGTAGTATAGTTTATTATTTTAGAATTGACTTTGCTCAAAGAGCTTCACAACTTTTTGGACCTAAAGAGCATCAAAAAATTCATGATTGGAATCGGATGAAAGAGGAGAAAACTGATAAAGATGGTGATTTATTCCTACGAAGTGTTGGGAAATCAGATAAATTTCTTTTTGCTGAAGAATTAGCCGCTTATCGAGCTCTTCGAAGAGAGAGTAAAGCGCATGCTCTTTTAAAAGCGGTTGGTTTATTAATTTATGAAACTAAAATACTTTTTTTTCGGAAAATATCAAAACAAATTTAAAAGGCTGCCATAAATATTATATTAATAAATTTTGGTACTCGTGTTATATGCTCCAATTTTTATAGCTCCATTTCCTATTTTACAAATTAAAAACTTTTCCGGAATTTAATAAAATATTTTGCAAATTGAAAAATTTTTCCGGAATTTAATAAAATATTTTGCAAATTGAAAAATTTTTCCGGAATTTGATAAAATATTTTAAAAATTGTAAAAACTTCCGGAATTTAATAAAACATTTTACAAATTGTAAAAACTTTTTCCGGAATTTAATAAAACATTTTACAAATTGTAAAAACTTTTTCCGGAATTTAATAAAACATTTTACAAATTGAAAAACTTTTTCCGTAATTTAATAAAACGTTTTACAAATTGTAAAAACTTTTTCCAGAATTTAATAAAACATTTTACAAATTGTAGAAACTTTTTCCGGAATTTAATAAAACATTTTACAAATTGTAAAAACTTTTCCGGAATTTAATAAAACATTTTACAAATTGTAAAATTTTTTCCGGAATTTAATAAAACATTTTACAAATTGTAAAAACTTTTTCCGGAATTTAATAAAACATTTTACAAATTGTAAAAACTTTTTCCGGAATTTAATAAAACATTTTACAAATTGAAAAACTTTTTCCGGAATTTAATAAAACATTTTACAAATTGTAAAAACTTTTTCCGGAATTTAATAAAACATTTTACAAATTGTAAAAACTTTTCCGGAATTTAATAAAACATTTTACAAATCGTAAAAACTTTTTCCGGAATTTAATAAAACGTTTTACAAATTGTAAAAACTTTTTCCGGAATTTAATAAAACATTTTACAAATTGTAAAAACTTTTCCGGACCATTTTGTAATCTTAAGGAGAAATTAGAAAAGAAAGCAAAGATAAGGAGAGAAGAAGGAAATTGAGGCTATAAAATTTGGGGGCATATAACACAAGAGTACTTAATTTTTTTGTCCAATTCTGATTTGTTTTCCCTTTAGGTTTTTTCATCGATCACAACAAAAATGCGCGTTGATTTAACACTTGGTCAACTTCATCTTTTTTCATTTCAACTTAGAAATCCTTTGGCTGAAGAATTTGTTTGCGAGTTGGAAAGCAACGATCATCGTCTTACGTTAGTTGATAGGCTTTATTATTTATTATGTGGCAAAGAATTATTGATTTATCGTTTTAAAGTCCTATCCGTTCTGCTAGTGAATTGAAATATTTGCAAAATCAACATTTGGATATCTACAAAATCGGATCGTTTGATCTTATCAACTTACAGCCAGGGTCAGCCTCAGCAGATTCTTCTCGTCTTTGTTGGCAGTTAGGCCTTAGATCCATGGAAAATCTAGAGCTTCCTATGCGTTTTGATTCAGGATTTGATGATATTTTCGAAAGTGGTATTCTTTAATTTTTTGAAAAATATTACTTGAATTACAAATTTTAGCAAATAATCAACAGTGTATGCAAGGTGATTGTCGCCTTTTTGTACGAAAGCTTCCTTCCGGCAGCCCTCTAGCCATTTTGGAACTAAATTATACTATTTGGCGTCCTTTTCTCACACAGTATTTTTGCTTTATTCTTTCGTTTTAAATTTAAAACTTGCAATTTTATAGTCATCTGCGATTTTTTACGGAGGAATCAAGAAAATTTGTACGAGCTGTACCTCTATCAAATACCTTTTGTTTTATCCGATGTTCAGATCCAACAGTAAAATTTCCAAATAAATTAAATCAATCAAGATTTCCTAGGTTTATTGTCAATTGCTTGAAGAAGGGCGTTTACTTCGAATTGAGGTTTTTGTAACACAATTTTTCTATATTTATCTATTTTTAGTGTCAAACTGGGGATGCACCAAATATACGTGATTTTTTAATATTTTTCTATGATGAAAGCTTTGGACCAATTAAATTACAAGCTGTTTGGCGTGTTTCTATACATTCTTTTCGACGTTTACATTCAGAAACGGTTTAATTTATATTTGTTTAGCTAAATTTTTTTAAATTTTTCTTTTTAGATTCAAGGTCAACCAGTTAGCGTTCCTCTTAATTTTGGCGAAACTGATTTACTTTCTGCTCCTGGAGGTGAATTAATTCGCCTTTATTGTTCGTCGCCTTTACATTCACATTTCCTTCCTGGATCTGTGCTTCCAGCTTCACAAACACCAATTCAACCTACAATTTTGCTTAATGTTCAACAGCTTGGTATTTACTTTTTTGTTTATAATTTCTAAATTTAATTCATTATTTTAAGGTCGTTTGCATTTGTTGGTAAATGCCGTTCGTGCAACTGCTCAACAAATAATTTCTCAATGGTTAATAACCTTGTCAGTTGGACGGCCGAATGTAACAAAAACTTTTCAAGTGATTGTCCCAGCTCAAGTACAGACTGTGGTACATAAAGTAAAATTTTTTATATTAAATATTCGTTTCGTATTTTCCTTTACTTTATTCTCGAATTTTTTAAACTAATTAAGAGAATTCCTCTTGACAACCCTTTGGCCATTGAGCGCAAATTTAAGCTTACTTCCTCTGATCCAACACTTCTTTATGTACCAACACCATCTCCTCCACCTATTCCACCAAATTCTGCTTTGCCAGTACAACTAGAAATTCGACCAATTTCCTCAGAGAATAGGCCTACACAACGACAGGTCTTCCCCCAGTTTTTATTCATTAGTGCATTTTTAACAAATTATAGGTTCTTCTCTTTGTACAAGATTCTCAAACAGGAAATCAAGAAGAAACTTTTCAATTTAACATTCGTTTTCATTAAAAGTCTTTAACACTTTTTAACAAAATTCCTATCTTTTCTAACATTCTGAACCTGGCATGCATTCTTGAAATTTTTTTATTAACGCACTTTGTTCTCTTTAATATTAAGCCTTTTTTCTTCTTAACATTTTACAATTACAAGCCATTTCTACCCAAGAAAAAATTTTCATTATTGTGAGAGAAGTTATAATATTTGCAATAAAATATGTCTAAACAACTGTTTAATAAAATAGGTAATCCGTAATTTTAGTTAAATAAATAGTTCGTTCATTTAAAGTTTTTTGGCTCTATTAAGCTTTATATTGTTTGTGAGTTGGGACGAGTTTCTCTCTAAGGAAAGATTGTTGTCAGTTGTTTTAAATGAAATCGCCATAGGCTTTTCCTGTTTACCTTAATTCTAAGTTTACTACATTCCTTCAACAATGATAAACATTTGCCCATAATTCCCCGTACTCGATAAATAAAAAATTTGTATTTAAGTAAAATCTAGGCTAATAAAAATTAGATTTAATTTTTAATTGAGATTAACCATTTTGATTTAATTATTATCATTCTAATTAGTGTACTTAAATTTGGTGTTTAATTACTGATTGTCTCTCCTTTTCAAATATCTTTATACCTTGAATGAATTTTTCTTTTTTTTCCGTTAGTCGGGCAAATCGTTTAATCAAAGCTTGAAAAAACGCTTCCAAATCCACCTAGAAATATGCTGCGCTAAATTTTCTTCCTGCGTTATTCTAAAATTCTGGGCTTTTCTTCACATGCGTATTTTGAAAAACATTCGTAACGTCATACTAAAAAATAATGCTTTTTTATTCAGCACATGCTTATTTTTTGGTGGCGGCAATGATCGAGCTTCAAAAACCAGAAGTTTTGACTTGTTTTTTTCTCGTTTCCTTCCTTCCTTTTCTTTATTTATTGTTTTCTTGGTATCTTCACGCCCCCACATGGTTGATGGTTTAGCTAGGAAATTGAGCTTAGATTTTAATTTGAAGGATGTGAAAAGGATAAGGGGAAGATAGAAAGTTTGTCAGGTGCCTTAAGTCCATCTGTCAGCCTCGATTTTGTTTTGAAAATGATCGGGTCTAGCCTCTCTATCTCTTTCATGCAAGCGAGAAATATAACTTTCTGCCCCTGTGGCAATATATTCGACTAAACTTATGGATGCTTCTCAGTCCAAGTGAAAAACGCCCACGAATACACACAGGTTGTTGGTAGCGGCTGCTTGTTTCTACTCCTTATTTTTCCTTCTTTGCCAATGATCTGAAAAATGAGATCTGACTATTTTACTTTACATTTTAAAGCACTTCGCCTTCATTTCTTCTATTAAATTCTCTCATTTCTTCTATAATGCTAGATTTTAGTTTTTTCTTCCATTCAACATTTTTATTATTCGTATATATGCACATATGTATAAGCTCTATTTTTAAACAATTAAAAAAACAAAAATGGGTTTGGGATAAAATTAAATTATAATCTTTTAATGTTTTATTTGAATAATAAGTCAAGGATTTATTTTTAGCAGCAATAACTTAAAACTTATTCCCCTATTCCCTGACCGATTGACCGACCGACTGACTGATTATTTTATATACTATTTTGTCTAGTGACTAAAAAAATCTAAATAATTTTAAAATGGCTGAAGCACCAAAGAGTTATGGTGATTTTGAATCCGATGAAGGATATCCTTTTTTGGCCATAAGCAAAGAAGATAAAATCAAGTTTGCCTCCCAACCATTCGATTCAAAGAAAAACTGTTGGATACCTGACGAGGAAGACGGTATTTTAATCTTTTTAAATCATTAATTAATTATAGTTTAAATAATTAATATTCCTAATTAACCGCCTATTATTAAGGCTTCGTTGCCGCTGAAGTTAAGAGCACCTCCGGCGAGCAAGTTACCGTGGTGACATCTAAGGGAAATGAAATTACCTGCAAGAAGGAAGAAACTCAAGAGATGAACCCACCGAAATTTACAAAGACTGAAGACATGGCTAACTTGACATTTTTGAATGAAGCCTCTGTGCTCAACAACTTGAAGGAACGTTACTTCAGCATGGTGATCAAAAAACTCATTAAGTCAATCATTAAATTATTTAGATGATTTACACCTATTCTGGACTTTTCTGTGTTGTAATCAACCCATATAAACGTTTACCAATCTACACTGAGGTATAATAAATTATTTAAATTCCTTGAACTGATTTCAACTGATAAAATTTTCAGAGTGTGATCAAGTCTTATATCGGCAAGCGACGAAATGAAATGCCACCTCATTTGTTCGCGGTTGCTGATGAAGCTTATCGTAACATGGTCCAGGATCGCGAAAACCAGTCTATGTTGATCACTGGTGAATCTGGTGCTGGTAAAACTGAGAATACCAAGAAGGTTATCTCGTACTTTGCTATCGTCGGTGCAACACAACAAGCAGCTGAGAAAAAGGAAGGACAGAAGGGTGGTACTCTCGAGGAACAAATTGTCCAGACAAACCCTGTACTCGAGGCTTTTGGAAATGCCAAAACTGTACGTAACAACAACTCATCACGTTTCGGTAAATTCATCCGAGTACACTTCTCAGGATCTGGAAAATTGGCTGGCGGTATTTTTAAAAAAAGTTAAGAGCAATTTTAAAGTTACTTGTAGGTGACATTGAACACTATTTGCTGGAAAAATCTCGTGTGGTTTGTCCTCAAATAATTTTCAGATTTTTAACTTTCTATTAAGGTACGTCAAGCACCTGGAGAACGTTGTTATCACATTTTCTACCAAATTATGTCTGGTTTCGATTCTGGATTACGTGCAAAGCTTCAGCTCACCAACGAGCTTAGCTACTACCATTTCCAGTCTCAGGGTGAACTTACAATTGAAGGCGTAGACGATAAAGAAGAAATGAAACTTACTCAAGAGGCCTTCGACATTATGGGCTTTGAGGACCTTGAAGTGAGGAATACAATTCTATTAGTTATTTTCGTTATTTTTTAGGTACAAAACATGTACAAAAACGTTGCTGGTATTATGCATATGGGAGAAATGAAATTCAAACAACGTCAACGTGAAGAACAGGCTGAGGTTGATACTGAGGATGGTCAGTATTTATTTTCTATTTATGAAATTTAATTGTCAATTAATTCAAATTAAGATGCCAAGCGTGCATCCGCCAACTTTGGAATAGATCACGAAGCTTTCCTCAAAGCATTGACCAAACCACGTGTACGTGTCGGAAACGAATGGGTGAACAAAGGACAAAACCTTGAACAAGTTAACTGGGCAGTATCTGGTTTGGCCAAAGCAATTTATTCTCGCATGTTCCGTTGGCTTATTAACCGTTGTAACAAGACTCTTGATCAACGTGCTATTGAACGAAAGATGTGGATTGGAGTACTTGATATTGCTGGTTTCGAAATTTTCGATTTAAACAGCTTTGAACAACTTTGGATTAACTTCGTAAACGAGAAGCTTCAACAATTCTTCAACCATCACATGTTCGTTTTGGAACAGGAAGAATACAAACGTGAGGGTATTGCATGGACTTTTATTGACTTCGGTCTCGACCTTCAAGCCTGTATTGATCTTATCGAAAAGGTTAGTTTTTCTTGATAAATAAAAAATATTTGTGAATATTAACAGCCATTGGGTGTCATCTCTATGCTTGATGAAGAATGTATTGTACCCAAGGCTTCTGACATGACATTCGTTCAAAAGTTACAAGATCAACATTTGGGCAAGCATCCAAACATGCAAAAGCCGAAGCCGCCTAAAGGCAAACAAGCAGAAGCTCACTTCGCTATTATCCACTATGCTGGAACGGTTCGTCTTGATGGATAAACTTAAAAAAATTTACTCGATTCCACTTTATTAGGTACGTTATAATGCCAACAACTTCTTGGAAAAGAACAAGGACCCTCTTAACGACTCTGCTGTCAGCATTCTAAAGTCAGCACAAAATAACCAATTGTTGCTTGACATTTTCGAGGACTATGTCACACAGGAAGAAGCAGCAGAATTGGCCAAATCTGGACAGTCTAGTGGCAAAAAGAAGGGAAAATCCTCCTCATTCTTGACTGTATCAATGATCTACCGTGAATCATTGAACAACTTGATGAGTATGCTTTACCAGACACATCCACACTTTATCCGTTGCATCATTCCCAACGAGAAGAAAGCTTCTGGTGTCATTGACTCGGCTCTTGTATTGAACCAACTGACTTGTAAGTTTTGCCTTTTTCAAATCCCGAGTAAACAATTCGTTAAGGCAACGGTGTGCTTGAGGGTATCCGTATTTGCCGAAAAGGATTCCCCAACCGAATGTTATATCCTGACTTCAAACATCGTTATGCGATCCTGGCTGCTGATGAATCTAAAGTGCCCGATGAGAAAGCAGCTAGTAAAGGAATTACTGATCGCCTTTGCCGCGAAGACAGTTTGAAGGTATTTTTTTTAATTATAACGTCATATGTTGATAAAACTGTAGTTTTTTGCATTCTTTATGAGTGCAAAAAATGAGTTAAAAATAAATTTAAACCGATACAGCAAATGCTTATAAAAATATATGGATGAACCAAAGAACATAACGATTGAGAAAAATGAATTCAAGATTTTTTATGAGAGAGACTAAAGATATTTATGGAGGGGACAAACAATTTGCTTTTACACATTCTATTTTAAATAACTTTGAAGCAAATAACATTCCATTTTTACAAAAAAACGGAAGAGTTTAAGACAAACATTATTCAATTTTATATTAAAATAAACTTTGACACATTTATTTATTTTACTAGGACGAAGACTTCAAACTGGGAAATACTAAAGTTTTCTTCAAAGCTGGTGTACTTGCCCGTCTCGAGGACTTGCGTGACGAGAAATTAGGAATTATTCTCACAGCTTTCCAGACACGAATTCGTTGGTACTTGGCCCAGAAGGACGTTAAGAGACGCATCCAACAACGCGCCGGTTTACTTATTTTACAGCGCAACATTCGATCTTGGTTAGTTTTTGAATAATTAAAACACGCGAAATTATTAATTTCAAAAACTACAGGTGCACCCTTCGCAACTGGGATTGGTTCAAATTGTACGGAAAGGTGCGCCCACTTCTCAAGATGGGCAAAGAGCAAGAAGAATTGGACAGTCTGCAAGTCAAAATCAAGGAATTGGAAGAAAGCCTTGCAAAGGAAGAAGGCAACCGCAAGGAATTGGAGACCCAAGTTGCCAAATTGGTCGAGGAGAAGAATGCCGTGAGTTTAACAACAATAAAGAAGATAACATTAAAATTTAAAAACGATTTTTTAGATTTTCTTGAACTTGGAGAAGGAGAAGGCTGCTCTCCAAGAATCAGAAGAAAAGGCTAACAAACTCCAGTCATTGAAAAACGACTTGGATCGCCAGCTGGGTGATCTTCAAGACCGACTTGGAGAACTTGAAGATCGTAATGCTGATCTTCAGCGCGTACGTAAGAAGGGCGAGCAAGAGATTGAAGGATTAAAGAAGAATGTTCAGGTAAAAAATTAGAGGTTTAAAAGATTTATTTTATAATTCCACATTTGGTTAGGACTTGGAATTGAGTCTTCGTAAAGCCGAGAGTGAAAAACAGGTATATTGTATGACTAAATATGTAAGAGGCATTGAATTAATATTTTTAGTCCCGTGAACACAACTTACGCTCCTTGCAAGATGAGATGGCCCAGCAAGATGAGAATATTGCCAAATTGAATAAAGAAAAGAAGCACCAAGAGGAGATGAACCGAAAACTCATGGAAGACCTCCAAGCTGAAGAGGAGAAGGTCAATCATGTGAATAAACTTAAACAGAAGCTCGAGCAGCAACTTGATGATTTGGAAGATTCAGTCGAGCGTGAGAAGCGCGCAAAACAGGAATTAGAAAAGTCAAAGCGCAAGACTGAGGGTGAACTTAAAGTAGCTCAGGAAAATATCGAAGAGCTAAATAAGCAGAAGCATGATTTGGAAGAAAATCTTAAACGCAAAGAAACTGAACTTCACCAAGTTTCTGCACGTCTTGAGGATGAACAGTCGCTTGTAGGCAAACTTCAACGCCAGATTAAAGAGTTACAAGCACGTATCTCTGAACTTGAGGAGGAGCTCGAGGCTGAACGTCAGTCTCGCCAAAAGGCTGACCGTTCCCGTTCTGAGTTGCAGCGCGAATTGGAAGAACTCAGTGAGCGTCTTGATGATGCTGGTGGAGCTACTGCTGCTCAGATCGAAGTTAATAAGAAGCGTGAAGCTGAATTAGCAAAACTTCGCCGTGATCTTGAGGAGAATAATCTTAACCACGAGACACAATTGAATGCTCTTCGCAAGAAACACAACGATGCTGTTGCTGAACTCACTGACCAACTTGAACAAATGCAGAAGATCAAAGTCAAGGTCGAAAAGGACAAACAACAAATACAACGCGAGCTCGAGGATGCCACACAAACTGCAGATTCAGAACTCCGAGCACGCCAAGAAGCTGAGAAAGTGATTAAGAATTTGGAGCTTCAGCTTAATGAACTCCAGACCAAAGCAGACGAACAGTCTCGTCTTCTTAATGATTTAGCAGCATTGAAGAGCCGACTCCAAAATGAAAACTCAGACTTGGAACACCAAGTTGAAGATTTGGAAAATCAAGTGAACTCTCTGCACCGTCTTAAGAGTCAGCTTGTAAGCCAGCTTGAAGAAGCTAAACGAACTGCTGATGAGGAAAGTCGTGAACGTCAGACACTAAGTGGACAACTTAAGAATGTCCAGCACGAAAATGATTCGTTGCGTGAGCAACTTGATGATGAACAGGAAGGAAAGGCAGAATGCCTTCGTCAAATCAGCAAGTTGAATGCTGAAATCCAACAATGGAAAGCTCGCTTCGAGGGCGAAGGCTTGGTTAAATTGGAAGAGATTGAAGTACGTGAAATAATTTTTAAGCTTTATTTATGAACAAAATTTTGCAGGAGGCGAAACGCACATTACAAAAGAGACTCCAGGAACTTACTGATGCCAATGAAGCAGCTAACACGAAGGCATGCGTTTTATCCTATGTTTCCCTATAAAATCATGTTTTCCAGATTCAATCTCTGGAGAAAACTCGCCACAAACTTATGGGAGATCTCGATGATGCTCAAGTAGATGTGGAACGCGCTGCTGCTTATGCTGCTGCTCTGGAGAAGAAGCAGAAAGGATTTGATAAGATTATTGATGATTGGCGCAGAAAGTGTGACGATATGGCCGCAGAACTTGATGCCAGCCAGCGGGATGCACGCAATCTTGCAACAGATTTGTTCAAGGCAAAGACGATTCAAGATGAATTGGCTGAAACATTGGAAGGCACCAGGCGTGAAAACAAAGCTCTCGCCCAGGAAATCAAGGATTTGACTGATCAGTTAGGCGAGGGTGGTCGTTCCGTGCATGAATTGCAGAAGGTATAAATTTAAAAATATATTCAAGAATTCCCCTTGTCTTCCTAGATTGTTCGCCGCCTAGAAGTTGAGAAGGAGGAAATTCAACACGCATTGGACGAAGCAGAAGCTGCTTTAGAGGCAGAAGAAAGCAAAGTGTTGCGAGCTCAAGTTGAGGTGTCACAAATCCGCTCTGAAATCGAGAAGCGCATCCAGGAGAAAGAAGAAGAATTCGAAAATACACGCAAAAACCATCAACGTGCACTTGAAAGTATGCAAGCTACGCTTGAAGCTGAGAGCCGTGGTAAACAAGAAGCTTTGCGTATAAAGAAGAAACTCGAATCCGATATCAACGAGTTGGAGATTGCTCTCGACCACGCAAATAAGGCTTATGCTGACGCACAGAAAACCATCAAGAAGCATCAAGACCAAATTCGTGAATTACAACTCCAAGTTGAAGATGAGCAGCGCCAGAGAGATGAATTGTAATTTTGTTTTTAATAAATGATTCTTTGTTATTTGATAATTTAAGGCGTGAACAGCTTTTCAACAGCGAGAAGCGTAACCAAATTCTCCAAAGTGAGAAGGATGAGCTCATGCACCAAGCAGAACAGGCAGAACGCGCTCGCCGCCAAGCTGAGGCTGATTTGGTAAATATATTATTTACTGTTTCTTATAAATTCGCCTATATCAGATTGAACTTCGCGAAGCCGTTAACGACCTTTCCAACCAAGTTAATAGTTTGAATGGATACAAACGCAAATTGGAGGGTGAACTTCAAGCATTACATGTAAATTTTGTTTTTAGACGTCCATCCTTTATCTTATAAATTAAGGCGGAATTGGATGAGACACTTACCGAACTTAAAAACGCTGATGAACTTTCCAAGAAAGCGTATGTTTTAAACTTTGTTAAAAATACACAAAAAATTATTATTTAGATCTGCTGATGCTGCCAGACTTGCCGAGGAATTGCGCCAGGAACAAGAACACTCACAACATGTTGACCGATTGCGTAAGGGACTTGAACTCCAAATCAAGGAGATGCAAGTTCGTCTTGATGAAGCAGAAGCAGCCGCACTTAAAGGCGGTAAGAAGATAATTGCCAAATTGGAAGAACGCATCCGGGCACTTGAACAAGAATTGGATGGCGAACAAGTAAGGAAAAATGTCCAATTTTTCAATAAAAATTTTTCTCTTCAGCGACGTCACCAAGAAACCGACAAGAACTACAGGAAAGCAGAACGTCGTGTAAAGGAACTCGACTTCCAAGTTGAGGAAGACAAGAAAAACAGTGAACGATTGACCGACCTTATTGACAAACTCCAAGGAAAACTCAAAGTTTACAAACGACAAGTAGAAGAAGCAGTAAGTTATTCTGAATGTCAAATCAAAATTGTATTGAAATTTTTTTTCTTATAACAGGAGGAAGTAGCTGCAACAAATCTTGGCAAATACCGCCAATTACAAGCACAAATGGATGAAGCAGAAGAGAGAGCAGATTTGGCAGAAAACTCATTGAGCAAGCTTCGTGCAAAGAACCGTTCCTCCGCATCAATTGCTCCAGCATCTGGTAAACATTAGAAAATCTTCAAAATCTTATTTTATAAATTCTAGTTGGTTTGGCCACATCAGCGAGTGCTGCTGTTCTTCGTTCTACTTCATTTGCACGAAATAGCTTTGCCGATTATTAAATAATATATTAAAATAAGATTAAAAATCCGAAGAAATTTATTATAATAATTGTTTATTCTCCCCATTTTTTCTTTAATTAATTCGTTTCATAATTAATCTAATTGTAAACCCATTCATTGAATTCTCCCTCTTTTTCTGTTGCTGCTGTTCATTCTTTTCAAATCCTAACTCTAATGTTAATATAGAAAAACATGAGATGTTATCCAAATCCACTACAATTTTTAGTCAGTCACATAACTCACTGCCCCTTAAAATAATCTGCTATTTTTAGTAACTAGTCTTGGTCATTCGGTCATTTTTCCCCATATTCACAAGCATAAACATTTTATAAAAAATTGTGTTAAATCTCTTTGGGCTTTCTTACCGTTATGTAACGGATTTATTATTTTTAGGGGGATGGTTGGGTTAAGTTTTTTTGAAGGTTTTTGTTGGAACCTTGAAGTTTTTTTACTTAGCTGACTTGATAATTTTTTAGCCTTTCTTAATCACTAAAATTTAATCGTTAATTAATCTTTGCTTCTACTATTTTTGCGGCTATGGCAGAAACGGCATATTCTCTTAATTTTAATATCGACGATGTGAAAACAAAAACAGTTGAACGGCTAATCTCTCCACTAATTCACTTGGTAATTTTATTTAATTCAATCAAATAAATTATTCAGATAACGTCTCTACATGCCAATATGCAACCTCTGAGTGGAGCAACCCGTGATGGAAAAGAAGTCATGAAGCGGCTTAAAGAACGCCTTGATAGTTTCATCATGACTGGCCAGCAGACAGTGCAAATAAAAACTCAATTTCCAGGTGCAGAAAAAATATTTGCTCAGCTGAATGACGCTTTAAATGATGTTGCACTTGCCGGTTTGTTTATTTTTTAGAAATTATTAAAAGGCTTAAGTTGAATATTTTTTCAGTAACTTTGGTTTGTCCCCTCCCCTATTATCACTTTTCTCTTTTTTGTAATCTTTTTTATCCAAAACAGGCGATAATCTTCTTATAATCGGCGAACCATTTATTGCTGATGCAGAGAACCCAGATTTACGTTCGCAAACAGTTGAGGCGAGTCGTGCTACTTTACTGGCTGTTGCACGTCTACTTATTATCACGGATATGGTTGTTTGTTTTATTTCATCAAATAAACTCAAAATTTTATAGATTGATGTAGATATTTTGCTAAAGCAAGCAGATAAAGTCAGACAAAATTTTAATGCCTTGAAGAATGCCCAATCAAAATCTGAGCTGCTTAAAACTTCCCAAAATTTGGATATGGAATTGCACGAACTAATGGAGATGACAAGAAGACGTGTTCGTGATTTACGAGATTCGGCTGCTCAGGATGATTTACAGGCTGCTATTGCGATGTTAAAAATAACTACACCTATAATGATTGCATCTTCTAAGGTTATTTCTTTTTCTAGCTTTTTAGCTTTCTAAATTGCAAATTTTGAAGGCATTTCTTCAACATCCAGGACTTGACGGTCTTAAGATTAATCAAAACTATGCGGAAGATGAACTTAATCGAGCATTGGACTGTTTTTGTGATGCTGTTCAAGGTGACCGGCCGCACGATGAGTTAGCTTTTTCTCAACATGGAAAGCTTAACGAGCTCGCTTTGAACTTTGAAAAATTCCAGGTAAACTTTAATTAAAAATTTCCAAAATCAATAAAAAAATTAACAGCGACGTGTTTATATGGATCCCTCTGAATATCAATCCCATCGACATCGTCCTCAATTGGAAGAATTGCTTGAACGTATTGCGAGTAGTTCTGGATTAATCGCTGATATGAAAACTACAAAACCTATGCGTCATGATCAAATTATTTCTGGTGTGAACAATTTACGGCAAGCTTTGCAAGATCTTTTGAAGGAATATGAACGGAATGTAAGCTTTAAAAATTTTTTAGATAAAGTTTTCTTTTTAATAAAGGTGGGATCAATTGAACCCTCTGAGGACCTCGACTTGTGCAAAGTATTTTTGGCCCACAAAATACGTGATTTACGTCGACATTTGCGTCGAACAATTGTCGACCATGTTAGTGACGTTTTTGTGGATGTTCGAACCCCTTTGTTACAATTGCTTGAAAATGCGTCAAATGGTGATTTTCCAAACACTGAACGGGCAGCAACTCTTTTTCAAACACAGGCTAACAATCTCGTTGCGGTAAAACTTGGGAAATATTTTAGAATTAATTAGTGCTAATTTAAAGGTTGCACGTCTTGTTGCCAATGTTTCCAATGATGTTGATGGTGTTAGAGTTCTTCGATATGCGACTCTTCTTTGTGAGAAAATTGCCCCACAGGTTTACTTATTTTTAATGGATTCAAGTTAATTTTAAAATTTTTATTAAAAGGTTGTAAATGCGGCCTTTTTACTATGCGAAGATCCACATAGCGAAGTGCTTAAGGTATCAAAAAATTTTGAAAAAAAATTATTTTTATTTAAGGAAAATATGTCCACATTCGAGCGTGTTTGGTTTGATCGTGTTAAAATGCTTACAATGGCAGTTGATTCTCTCATATCTTTTGATGACTTTTTAGCTGTTAGTGAGGCTCATATTAGCGAAGATTGTCAACAAGGAATTCAAGTTATATTATTTTTTGTGTTATTATAAATTTTCTTTTTAGGCTATTGTTGAACACAATAGTGAAATGTTGGATCGAAATGCTGGTTATATTCGAGGACGTTCAGTTCGTGTTTGCGATATGGTGTTAAACGAGATTGGTCAAGTACCTAGTGATTCTTATAGCGAAAATGTTAAGCGTGCAACTTTGTGTCTTCGAGATGGTTGGTTTTTTATAATTATTTTATAATTTCTCTGATAGCTAGGGTTAACAAAAAATTTTCAGATGTTCTTCCACATTTTAAAAAACGCGCCGAACAAATTGTCTCTGCATTAACTGAAATTGAAAAAACATCAAAAGATGTCGATGATGAAAGCCAACTGGAGACAGAAACAAAACGAGAGGTGGATGAAATGATTGATGCATGTCAGCTAGTTTATGATGCTGTAACTGATATTCGTCATGCTTTATTAATGAACAGAAATCCAGAAGATGTAGATTCTGATAATGAATATGAAGAAGGTTTTAACTTTAAAGAATTTTAAAATTTTTATTTTTTTGTTATAGATGGTTTGCCATCTGATGAAGCTTGTAGTCAATCTTCAGCTTCAGAAATGCAAAATCAGCAACAAATAATGCGACAGCTTCCAGAAGAATCAAAACGTGAAATTCAAAAACAAATTGATGTTTTTAAGGTTAAAAATTTTTCTTTTATTTTAAGATTTTTAAATTTTTAGATAACTCAAAGAAAGTTTGAATATGAAGTAGGTAAATGGGATGAAACAGGAAATGATATAATTGCGTTGGCTAAAAAGATGTGTCAAATAATGATGAATATGACTGATTTTACAAAGTATATTCTGTTTAATTTTGATTCTTTTTATTTATTTCTCTTTTTGTAGAGGTCGAGGTCCTTATAAAACAACAATGGACGTAATTAAAGCCGCGCAGGAAATTTCTGAATATGGTGCAAAATTGAATGGGTTTGCTCGTCAAATTGGAAGCGAATCAGTAGAAAGCAATACAAAGAAGGATTTATTTGCTTATTTGGAAAGAATAACTTTATTTTGTCATCAACTAAATGTTACAAGCAAGGTTTCTTTTTATTTTTTGGTACTCTTGCGTTATTTTTATAGCTCCACTTTCTATTTACAAATTGTACATAAATACATTTCCGGAATTTAACAAAATATTTTACAAATTGTAAAAACTTTTCTGGAATTTAACAAAATATTTTACAAATTGTAAAAACTTTTCCGGAATTTAATACCGAAACTCTTACTTTTTTCGATCCGAACCCCAACATAAAATTTTCGAAACCCCTAAACCCGACATTTTTCTCAACATGTTCCATCCCTGATTTGTACTTTAAAGGTAAAAGCAGATGTTCAAGTTGTTGGAGATGAGCTACGTGTGAGTGGACTTGAAGCAGCATTTTCACTCATTCAAAATGCCAAAAATTTGTTAAATGCTGTTATATTAACAGTTAAATCAGCTTATATTGCCAACACAAAAGTATTTTCTTTTTAAATTTTACACAAAATTAAAAAAAAATTTTCAGTATCGTCGAAAGGAAAATACAAAACCGAATGTTGTTGAATGGCGAATGGCTGCTCCACAAAAGCAACCTTTAATCAACGCTCCAGCAAAGATTACTAATACACATGGAATTGTTCGACGCGCTTCGGTTAGTATAAAAAATTTATTTTTTAATTAATATTATAAGGAGAGACGTCAACCTCCATTACAAGCCTTGACGCAATTCCAAATTTCAAAATGAAAAAATTTTTATTTGGGCTAATTGGCAAATTTTCTTAAAACTTGGTTGTGCCTTAATTCATAATTTAATATTTTTTAAATTAATAATTTAATTTTTTTCAATTTTTTATCTGCTTTTTTATACGTTTCCAAATAATCTCAAAAAATTAATCTTTTTTCTCCATTCCAGCTATAAATTTTAAAAGATTTTTTTAAATTGATTTTTAATTATTTAATTATTGGTGGCACTGCCCCAATGTATTTTTTATTTATCGTTTCTATAATTTCCTACATTTTCCTAATTTTTATAATCGCTTATTTCTGATTTTCATTGATGCTGTTATGCATAATTTACTGATTTTTACTACTAAAACAAACTGGCAAAGGGCTAAAACTAAACCCGGTAATGGGGAATTAAAATTTTCCGGATTTTCCCATCTAATTGTTTAGCCGTATTATTTCATATTCCATATTCTGCCAAAACCATATTTTGCCAATGAGGCTAAGAATTTGCATTTTACCAACACGGTCTTACTGGCAAAACGTCTGTTTTGGCCTTATTGGCAAAATGTGTGTTTGGCAGATGATGGAGCCGAATTATTACTATTTTCCGGACCTATAATTAAAGAGCAGCAAAAATCCTATAAAAACACTTTGTTTTTAAAAAACAGCTTTGTCTATTTAAAAGGACTACCTACTTAAAAAAGGAAAATTCTCGAAAGACTTTTCCTCCTCAATATTTTGTCAGCTTTGCATTTTTATTTTTTTTTACAAATTTGGGTGAAGGTCGGCGGCTAATGTACTAAATCAGATAAAAAAGGTTGTGTGATCGATAAAATCGAGACCGTCAAAAATATTTAGGAAAAGTGTGGCCCCCCTCTTTATTTTTTTTACAAAATTTTCCTCCCTTTTCTTTTCCGCTCTCATTTTTCTTTTCATTATTTCATTTTTATTTGTCTCTAATTTTCACTCCGCGGTTTGTACTCTACTTCTTTAATGTTTGCAGACTTTTTATCTATTTTGTTCACTAGTTAGCGAGAATAAAGTCTGTGATGGTGGTGGTGTGGTGTGTCCTTGCCCGATTGGTTGTTACTATACGTGGCTCCAGTTATTGCTTTACACACCACTGACTGTGCTTAAAAAATTACATTATATCCTTTAAAGCCGCTAATATAATCATTAATTTATTTTTAATTTTTTAGATTTAAAAACCTTTAAATTTTAAAAAATCGTTGTTTGTATTCAACAGTAGAAATGGTGAGCAGGTTTTGTTTTGTATCCTTGCTGATAGCTTGTTGGTCAATTTTTGGAGCTTTTGGGGAAGTTTTCTTCAAGGAGGAATTTTCAGGTTTTCTTTTCTTTTTTATCTGGTGAGGTGAGAGTTTACTGTTCTCTTTGAAATATTAGAAATTATCCGTTATCCAAATTAATTTTGTAATTTTAGACGAGTCTTGGACCGATCGATGGGTGCAATCTAAGCACAAAAGCGACTACGGGAAATTCGAGCTTTCTTCTGGAAAATTTTTTGGTGATAAGGAACGCGATCAGGGCCTTAAAACTTCTCAAGTATGCTTTAAACATTGTTCTTTTTAAATGGTAATTTTTAGGATGCTCGCTTCTATAGCATTTCTGCCAAATTCCCAAAGAAGTTTAGCAACAAAGGAAAGACGTTGGTAATCCAGTTCAGCATCAAGCATGAACAGGACATTGACTGTGGTGGCGGTTATCTTAAAGTATGAGATTTTTATTTAATCATTTAAAATTAATCAATTTAGCTCATGGCCTCAACAATTAATCAAGAGGATTTCCATGGGGAAACACCTTACCACCTTATGTTTGGCCCTGATATTTGCGGACCTGGAACGAAGAAAGTTCATGTCATCATTAACTACAAGGACAAGAACCAGCTCATTAAAAAGGATATTCGATGCAAAGTAATTTTTGTTTTTGAAAAAATAAATTTGTCTCGTTTAGGATGATGTGCTTACTCACTTGTACACGCTTATTCTCAATCCAGACAACACCTATGAAGTTCAAATTGATGGAGAGAAGGCAGAAAGTGGAGAACTTGAGGCTGATTGGGAGTTGTTGCCGGAAAAGAAAATTAAGGATCCTGATGCTAAGAAGCCTGAGGATTGGGATGAGACGTGAGTTTTTTGTGTTATTTTTTGTCTTATATGATTTTTCTTTTAAGTGAATACATTGATGATCCTGAAGATAAGAAGCCCGAAGATTGGGATAAGCCTGAGGTGAGTCCTTGTTTCCTTTTATTAAATTTCTAAATTTTCATTAACAGACCATTCCTGATCCAGATGCAAAGAAGCCAGAGGACTGGGATGATGGTAATTAAAATTTTAATTGTTTAATTTTTTATTTCTATTTTTAAAGATATGGACGGAGAATGGGAGGCACCAAAAATTGATAATCCAAACTATAAAGGTGAATGGAAACCTAAGCAGATTAAGAATCCAAACTACAAAGGCAAATGGATTCATCCGGTATTCAATTTATTCTTTTTAATTTTTACATATCGAATTAATTTTAGGAAATTGACAACCCTGATTACAAAGTTGATGATGAACTCTATATGCGTGAAGATTGGGGCTCTGTTGGTATTGATATCTGGCAGGTTTTGTTTAAATTTTATAATATGGATGAATAATTCTAACTTTTAGGTTAAATCTGGTACCATCTTCGACAATATTATTGTGACGGACAGCATTGATGAAGCAAAGGCTCATGCGAAGGAAACGTTTGAACCATTGCGCGATGCTGAAAAGAAACAAAAGGAGGCTGCAGATGAGGAAGAACGCAAGAAGTTTGAGTATGTTTTTTAATTAAACTTTCAATTAAAAAATTTTTTTTCTCAATTTTTAGAGAGGAAGAAAAGAAACGTAAAGAGGAAGAGGAATCTAAAAAGAAGGATGAAGATAAGGATGGTGATGAGGAAGAAGAGAAGGATGAGGAAGAGGAAAAGAAGGTGGAAGAGGAGCATGATGAGCTTTAAATGGAAGAAGAAGGATATATAATTAAAAGGTTCACTTTTGCTCGTAATAAAATTATAAAAAATATAATTGGGGGGATTTGCTGCCACCTTTGCCTATTTTTTGGGGGTTTATTTTTCTCTATCATTTAAAATTAGTTTTTCTTTTCATAAGAATATTTTTTTAATTCATTTGTTCTCTCTCTCTCCCAACCAAAAAAAATACCGCACATTTTTTGACTATTATTGTTTGGTTTTAAATTATTTTGTTTTGCTTAAAATGAATTGTGTCTTCATTAAAAAAATTTTTTTTTGTTTTATTTTTCCTTCATCTATAATTATTTTTTTCTTTTCGTGTTATTGGATTTCCTCAAGTCTCTCTATTTTTTCTTTTTTTTTATACTTAAAAATGGATTTCGAGATGTAAAAAAAAATTTTTTTGATTAATGGGTGATGGAGGGAAGAGTTGATTTGAAAAAATGATTCTTTAGAATTTTTTGGATTAAACATCTTGCAATCCTTATAATTTAAATCATCAATTACATATATTTTTGTGTTCTCTAAATATATTTAATTTAAATAAAATTGTTGATTCCTTCATTTAAAAATTCTTAGAGTAATAATTAAGATAAATTTGTTATTTAAAAATTGGATTTAAATTTTTGAAAATTTGTAAAAGAATCGAAAGGTTTATTTTCTTATTAGAGAGGATTTGGATAAATTTTTAAATTTTAAGATGACAGGAATATATCACAATTTCTACAATAATAAAGACGCCGAACAAAGGAGACTTTTTGTAAAATTTTTGGAAAAATGTCGCCGCAACGAAATGATGCAGAGTTTATATTATTTGAAAGCTAATGGCGCAATTAAAGGATAACAAACGATGAAGAAGGAAAAAAACTTTCAAAAGGTATTACTTTTTATTTTATAACAAAAAAGTAAATAGCCGTGGGATCATCCCAAATAAATAGCTGACAAATAGACTGGAGGGGGAATGGCCGTCTGAATATATTTCAAGTTAAAAATTGTGCTCTTAATCTAACCGATACCACATCTTTGCTTTAACTATCCCCCTTGTTGCGCGGAGCGACGGTGCGCATCCTCCATCCATCAGTGATTTTCATCCATGGTAGAGGACGTTTCTCCTCTCTCCCTTGTTTTCCTCTCGCTGCCAAGGCCATCCTTTAAAAAATCCTCTGCCATCAAATCCGAAACGAACCTTCAAATTCTATGCTATCCTAAAATAAATAGCTATCCATTTTTCATTCATTTTCATTACATTAAAATCTGTCCGCCCATTTACATCCACAATTATTTTTATTCTTCGTTTTGGAAACTTCCACTTAATTTTAACATATCCTAAAAATAATGAATCTATATTTACGGCATTTATTCCTTATTATGCTTTTGCCGCCTCCTTGGCTTCTTCCATTATTTATTGGACACAACAGCATTATTGTAGTCTCAGCTACTTTGTGCGGTCCATTACCTTCAACTTGTTTGCCAGCACCGCCTTGCCCACCGCCATTGATACCTCCGCCTCTTCCTCCTGCACCTCCACCACCACAACTTCCATGCCCGATGCCTTGTCCTCCTCCTCATCCACCTGCACCTCCACCACCACTCCCACAACTACCATGTCCATCACCATGTCCTCCTCCTCTTCCTTCTCTTCCTCCTGCACCTCCGCCACTACCACTTCCACAACTACCATGCCCATCACCTTGTCCCCCTCCTACTCCTCCATCTCCTTATCCTCTACCTCCACCAAGATTGCCAACACCAAATTGTCCGCCACCGCCAACTACATACCAACCTTTTCTGCCACAACCAGCACAAAACCAGTATCAAACCTATCTTCCTTCACCTCAAGTTCCTTATGCTCCAAATCAACAACAAATTGTGCCTCCATCTTATTCAACTAGACCAATTCCTATTCCATTAGCACCTCAGCCAGTACCTCAGTCAAATAC